GCGAGAGCAGGATCGCGGGTGAAGAAGGTTGTCTCAGCACGTGTGGGAAGTCTGGGGAATCAAGATAAGCTGTTGCAACTCCGTACACTGCTACGGTGTCTCGGGGATTGAGCGATGCTGCTGTTGACGATGAACGGCGGTCCAAATTCGGTGTTGTCTAGAGTTCACCAAGTCGCCAAAGTCAAAGTGCGTGGAGGACGAAAAAGTCCCGACTTCAAACCTTGAAATCACCAACCTCAACGACATCACCGGACGGACCCCAGGACGCCCCGGCCATCGCCTAGCTCGCCATGCAGAGACCGAAGCTGACATGGCGCCGAGACGAACGCCATGCGCAATCGCAAGTACCGTGAACTTGGTCCACCAGCGGCAGGCATTGCAACCTGACGTCCATTTAACGTGGTTTCGTCTGAAGTTTCGATCTCAAGTACCATTAACAACAGACCCTGTCTTGCTCAGTGGACGGTGGCAGCAACCCTCGGGCATGACTTGTTGTGCGTGCTTCAAAACGGCCGAAACTGTGATTTGCAAGCAGAGTCGTGTTTGAGACGGGTGGGGGACGGGCGTCGAGAGGAGAGACTAGACTGGACGCGTGGAAGTCCTTGTTTCAATCCGCAGAAGATCCTCATCGAGTGTGATGAACGGCCAGGAGAGGGGGAATCCAGTCGAGTCTCAGCGAGGAGCGGGAAACTTGTGAAGTCGGGAGGGAGCCACGCCCACGACCAGGGGGTGAAAAGTTTTGGAGCCAGGCCTGGCATTCGGTACCGGTGGGTCTGCCGTCAGCGTGCGGTGTGGGTTCGCCTTGTTGTGGCTTGCCGCTATGCGGAACCCCTGTGGAGGGATCGGGCAAAGTCGGGAGCTCGTCGTGTCTGAGGCTTGTAGGGACTCAGGGAGAGTCATGCTCGGTATGCAGTCGACGGTGTCGTTGTCAATGTGTTGTTCGCTTTGCTTATCTTGCTTAGTTGGAGATTTGGGGGCTGCGGTCCACCTCGCTCACGGGATGGTGGGAAGATGATGGGCAGCAAACGGCGCCGTATCGGGCGTTGAACACGAGTTCAGACCGCGGGATATCGCAGTACGTTCCGCGGGGGGCTTGATTCTGACGTGCTCCAGCACTTGATAGGGCGGGATATCGCCTGATGAATCTTTAACCCGATATCCCGCCGACTGCCCTCCGTCATTTCGTATCCATTGGGAGATTTCGCGAGCGTCGTCTATTCAGGTCTGGGTCTTCAGTCATATTCCAGAAGGGGACCCGGAATTTGCCAAGGGGCGAAAAGTACCTGCAGGCACGGCAGCGTCGCATTAAACACTGCATGGGTTTGGATTCCGACGGCCGACCCGGCCAAGTGCCTAGTGTAGAGCTTGTGGAAGCCTGGAAGGCCCGGAGGCTCGCCCAGAGTGCAACACACTCCCTCAATGCTCACAGACTGGAGGACAACGGTTCGGGACGCTGTGACAGAGACTAGCCGGAAGAGGAGGCTGGCCAACAAATGTGACGGCCGTCATTGGCCGACGATTGAAGATATCCCCCGTCGTTCTTGGTTCCTTCGTTTCAATAGTAGTTGTTGATTTGTTAGACTTTGGACATTGCGTTGGCCGGCCGAGCCCCTGGTTTTTGCTTTTCACCAAGCAATAGTGCGACGGACAAGATGGAAAGATGGAACGAAGACACTGTTGGCGTCCACGGGTCGGGGGCATGGGGGCGTCCTTTTGCAAAGCTTCGTTCGTTCCTTGTGAGCACGTCAGCGAAACGGATGGAGAATGCGACGTGCGAGGCATTGGCCAGGCTGGAGTGTCGCGTGCGCACAGAAAGAGCAGTTCGTAGTCTGTACGAATACTGCGTACGGACAGAGGCCGTAGCGGTCCCGGGGACCGTCGGAGGGCGGATTCGAGATTGTAGGTTGGAGGAGGCCCGGATGGGTGCTTGCTAGGTACAGCTAGCGTCGGCGAGATGTCCGGCCGGTGATGGAGAAGGAGGAAGTTCTATGGACCATGGATTCCAACTTGGACGGTTCCACCTCGCGAGGGAAGCCCAAGTGGATGTTCTCCTGTTCTTCCGGTGGAGTTGGCTCAAGGGTCGACGTCTTTGGGTGTGAGGGGGGCAGGCCGCAGGCGGGAATGGGATGCAGGTGCAAGTGCAGCAAGGCTTGACAGGGTCGAGGGCTCGAGTGCGACGACAACGTACATTGGGCTGCATGGCTGACGACTTTTTGGGGGGTTGAAAGTGCCGACGGTTGACACATTGTGCCGTATTTGTCGGGGATTTCTGGTGTTTGTGCCGACGTCGCACCTCTCTCTTCTCACCGGTTGGAGAATTCTGGAGAGGCGGGAGGGATCAGACATCCCAACAAAAAGAGGTCCTTTGGGGTACAGCAGGCAGGCCGCAGTACAGCTTAGCCGCAGCTAGGTGAAGCTTGGGTGCGTCTAGGTGCCGTGGATGATGACTGTACGTAAGACGTCTGCACAAGAGGCCGTGGACGTCTCTGCGGGCGTCTGAGCCTTTGGATCCTGTGTCGACTTTGGAGAGTTGCCGTGTCTCACTGGGGCGGAAGAGTCGATGGGCATTGGGACCAGGGCGCAAGGGGAGACGACGGTCGCTAGGTCAGGGGACGAAAAAAATAAGATACAAAATCGTGGTAAACCAAACAGAGAAAAAAATGTGGAGTGACCCAAGCACGAGAAAGCCGTAAACAATCATGGTCGGGGGGGCAGGGCCGATTGGCAGCGACGATGACTCCGCGAAATGTCGTTTTTCTGCGCATGTTCCATTCTTTGATTTGGTGAGATTCAGCGCGCCATTTTCAAAGATGCCTGGGTGGTTGTCCTATGACTCTGCATCGTCAATGAGCATGGCAGGACCGATCCCGTGGTCGGAGCTGCCTTCCGTGAATCAAGTGTAGAAATAAAATAGCAGGAGCACCTGGGCACGTAGGAAGCCATGCACTTGCCCTGCTTCACTTTGAGGTAGACTTCCATTTGCTTCTTTCTTTCTGAAGCTTCGTCCATCGACGACCATCCAGGGGAAACATCACCCAATGTGATCTTGACGAGACCGAACTGGATCAATTGCATCGCTCGGAAAGAAACACCACTCCACGCACATCGACACGGATAGCCCGACTCCACTCGCCGCCGGACAGACTGCCGCTGCGCCGCTGGCAACTTGCTTGGGCTGACATCCCACGCCTCCCACGCTCACTTTCACGCCCACGAACACCCTCCCACGTCGACGAAGCGAAGCGAAGCTGAATCGTCCGCATTCCGTCAGCTCACCTTATCCGCCGTGTGCACTACTTCGAGTGACGGACAGCAGACCATCTCCACTGCAGCTCGTTTCCCAGGTAGGCAGGCCCCTTTCCCGGTCCTTCGTCAGCTTCCATGCCTGCTCCATCTGGCATCGCGGCACCCAAATGCAAAGACCAAGATAGCATCAAGCTTCTGCGCAATCTACGCCATTGTGAGCTGACGGAAACGGGCCGTCCACAAGCACCACTGTGTTGTTCTCTAGGCTAATTTTCGGTTTGCTACGCACAAGTGAGAATCACCTCCTGAGTCTTGGACCTCGTACTTCGTCTCCGGATACACCGTCCCGGCGTCACCACCTCTTCACCTTGCCGCCTCCCGTCGCCTCACCGACGCCCCTCTCGGCCCTCGTACACGCCCCGTCCTTGTGTCGCCTAGAGCTTCCTGTGTACTCCGTACGGAGAACCTGACGAGGTACCCAGTTACCCCAACTTGAAAATTTTCATCGGCCTTCTCCAACTCTGCGAATTCAGCCAGAATTGGGCACGAATTCGGAAAAAAACGACCATCAACAAGAAAGGAAAAAAAAAAAAAAAAAGAAATTGCCAATTCCTAGGATCGGGTCTGGCTTCCGTCTTCTCCCACCCTCCACACCAACACCCCCGTCTCAACCCTTAACCACCCCGGTCGTCGACGGACCCTCGTCGCCCCCGTTATTCAACCACCCTGGTCTCCCGGCTCCACGCCGCACACCCTGCCACGACCTGCAGCGAACCCTCTGCACAATCGACCCCGATTCGGGTGCCAGTCTCCCTACTCTGTCGTCTGTGTACGGATACGCCTGGGCGGAAACCTTGGAAGCACATCATACAGTTGGATTCGAATCAAAGCTTGGAGCTCCAGCGCACGCTCGACCTGCTACGTAGTCCGCACGCCACAACGCACAGTCACAGAGCACTCCCTTGTCCCGCCATCCCATCTTCTGCGCCGTCCCATCCCTCCATCGCTTTCCCAATTCTCGTTCCTCGTCCGCCCGTCTCCCGTCCCCCGTCTCCAGGCTTCGCTCGTCCGTCGTCCAGGCAAGTACCCGGTACCTCGACACCTCTGCCGGCGCCTGGCCTTGCTGCCATCCCTCCTTTGTGAAACTGCCTTGAAACCCCCTTCTCCCTATCATTCTCAGATCCTCCGTGGCCATGGGTCTAAGTCGCTGTACCTGGCCGGGCAAACCTCCATCGAGGACCGGACCAGTTCACAAGGTTTTAAACCGACTTTTCCTCGTCCGCGATCCAGTTGCAGGGAACACAACGCCCTTCCCCTCTGTTGGTCCATCCAATGCAACTCTTGCGACTCCACGCTCTCACCATACTCTAAATTGCCTTCCTGCGCCTTCTCCGAAAGCTGGTCTCTTGCTGCGTCCTCCTCATCAACGACTAATATCACGTTCCGGCCGGTCCCATTACACCACACGCACCACACGCACCATTACCCATCACGCTCGTCTGCTTCGCCTCGGAGCTCCAACAACTACTAATTGCCTCGTTCCGTCGCCCACTCCCGCCTCCTCTTTCTTCTCCGCATCTCTCCCACCGACACATGCGCCGGTAATGTCAATGGCGTCGTATCCCTTCAGTTCAGCCAGCTCCTCAGACATCTCTACGCCCCGGTCCTCCTCGCCTTCGCCATCGTCCGTCGCCTCTGCCCGCTCCTCTCGCTCCTCTATATCTAACAAGCGCATGTCCATGTCCAGTCGCAGAATGACAGACTTCAACCCCATGTCTTCCGTCGACATCTCCGTCATTGAAGACAAGATGAGAATGGCCTCCCTTGACCAGCACCGTGGCTACTCCCAGAACACCTTTGGCGAGGTTCAGCAATACCGCAACACGGAATACGTGCCCAAGACCCAGGCAACCGCTTTCCAGATCCTGCGCGAGCCCCTCTGGAACAAAGGTGAGTTGATGGCAGCTGCCGCTTCCCCCACTTACACCGTCTGTCCGCGTCCGCACTGAACCTTACTGCACCTGCACGCACCGGCTTCCCCCAACATGGCGTATCCCTTCAGTTTGCACCCTTCTATATAGCCTCCCTCTTTTTTCCTCCCACAACATCCCCAATTCCTCGCTCCATCCCCTCCCATGGCTTCTTCACTCACTGGGCGCGCCCGTCGTCTTCCCTCACTACTTCCTCGCCCGCTCAATCCTCTGCCTCGTGCTCCCATCCACTCCTCCTCCAAACTAACCGCCATGGTCGAATCAGGTCTCTCCTTCACGCCCGAAGAGCGCGTCACCAGAAACCTCACCGGCCTTATCCCTCACACCATGGAGAGCCTCCAGACGCAATGCCAGCGGGCCATGAAGATGATCAACACCCGCCAGACCGACGTCGACAAGTACCTCTACCTGTCCTCGCTCAAGGCCCAAAACTTTGACCTCTTCTACCGCCTGCTCATTGACAACGTCCGCGAGCTCATGCCCTTGGTCTACACCCCCACCATTGGCGATGTCTGCCTGCAATACTCTACCCTCTACACCCGCCCGGAGGCTCTGTACATTTCGATCAAGCAGCGAAAGTCCATCCGCACCATGCTCCGCAACTGGCCCTACCCCAACCCCCAGATCTGCGTCGTCACCGACGGTTCCCGCATTCTGGGTCTTGGTGACCTCGGTGTCAACGGTGTCGGTATCTCTGTAGGTCTGCCGTCCCTCCATACCTGACAACACTAACAACCCCAGATTGGCAAGCTCGCTCTGTACACTGGTGCCGCCGGTATCCACCCCGAAAACACCCTGCCTATTGTCCTCGACACCGGCACCAACAACGAGACCAACCTCAAGGACCCCTTCTACCTGGGCATCCGCTCTAAGCGCGTGTCCGTCGCCGAGCAGCAGGCATTCATGGACGAGTTCATGGAGGCCGTCACCGAGGTTTACCCCGAGATGACTGTCCAGTTCGAAGACTTTGAGTCCGAAAAGGCCTTCAACTACCTCGACCGCTACCGCGATAAGTACCGCTGTTTCAACGACGATATCCAGGGAACTGGTGCCGTCGTCCTCGCTGGTTACATCAACGCCGTCGAGCTCTCTGGCGTTCCCCTCGAGGAGCAGCGCCTGGTTTTCATGGGCGCCGGTTCCGCCGGTGTCGGTGTCGCCAAGCAGCTCGTCGAGTACTACACCAAGCGTGGCCTCAGCGAGCAGGTCGCCAGGGACAAGTTCTGGCTGGTCGACACCAAGGGTCTCGTCACCAAGGACCGCGGTGACAAGCTCGCCGAGCACAAGAAGTACTTTGCCCGCACCGACAACAACGGCCACCAGTTCCGCACCCTCGAGGAGGTGATTGAGTACGTCAAGCCCACCGCTCTCGTCGGTCTCACCGCCACCTTTGGTGTCTTCACCGAGTCCGTCGTTCGCGCCCTCAAGGCCTCTGTCGACTCTGGCGGTCTTGGCCGCCGCCCCGTCCTCTTCCCCCTCAGCAACCCCCTCACCAAGGCCGAGTGCACTTTCGAGCAGGCCGTCCAGTGGACCGACGGCACCGTCATCTTCGCCTCCGGCTCCCCCTTCTCCCCCTTTACCATGAAGAGCCCCGACGGCCAGGCCATTACCTACCACCCCAACCAGGGCAACAACGTCTACGTCTTCCCCGGTCTCGGTCTCGGTGCCATCCTCGCCAAGGCCTCCAAGGTCACCGACGACATGGTCTATACCTCGGCTGCCGCTCTCGCCGCGTCCCTCAACGTTGACGAGATCCACAAGGGTCTCATCTACCCCCGCATTGAGCGTGTGCGTGACGCCAGCGTCATTGTGGCCCGCGAGGTCATGAAGTCTGCCCGCAGAGCCGGTGTCTCCAAGCTTCCCGAGTCCCAGTGGGTCGAGTGGGAGGAGTGGGGTGATGTTGCCCTGGACGCCTGGATCAAGGAGCGCGTCTACGACCCCGTCAGCTTCTCCGAGAAGAGCCGAATCTAAACCCCCCTAAAAGATTGTGCGATGGATGACTTGCATTTACGGATCAAAAGGGCTTGGACAGGGAATACCTGAGACGTTCTCAGAGAGCGAAATTGGTTTTTTTTTCGGCGTTGGGGTAGACATCAAGGGCCTTGGCTTTCCAATCTTGCCGAGATTTGAGCGAAGGGAAACACAGACACATTTTCATCGTCACTAAAAGGACGACGACGCTTTTTTACTACGAGTACGCCCTATGCGGCTATCGTCTCCGTGACGCCTGTTCGCGTCGGAGTTTTGAATTTAGAGTAGAGGATGTTGTGGGGGAGTCAGGTTTCGCGGTAATACTTCCTGATGGAGCCATGCTACATGGAACGCGATTTAGAAATAGACTTGGATGCCTGTACGACTGTGCTACTGTGTGTACGTGACTGTAATCCTGTGACCCTGGAGTGGACAAACGGCCCTTGGACTTGGGAGAGCTTGCCGAGCTTCGTGGGGAGGTGCCTCGGCTTGAAAGCTTGAGCTTGAACCCAAAAATCTGGACGACGTTGAACCAACCGTCCCCAACTTTTGCTAGGGGGGTAGCGTAGATCCCCCCAAATTTTCTCTCTCCGCATAGGGACGAACCCCACCCGAGCTCTGCCCCCCCCAAAAAAAGAGCACGTTCTCCAACTGGTGAACTCCGTCTGAAGTGTGTTGGGGGGAGATAGCTCGGAAGGTGTTGGGAGGGGGGAAGGGGGTTCACAAGTCCGAAGTAGACCGGACTGGGTAGGATAGCGCATGCATTGTTTGTGTTCTGTTTGTTCGGGTGTTTTTCTTGCTCGGGTGCTTTTTTTTACTACACGGCTGCTGATGGAGAGTAGATACGATTCGCGCGCATGATGGACAATCTGAACCTACGTCTGCACCTACGATTCTAGAGTCTCATGAACGAGACAATCGACGAAGTAAAGCCGGGTTCTAGAGGATGACGCTAGGGATTTTTTGGGCAATGGAGACAACGCGTGCGTGGGTTAAGGGGGGTTGTTGCGTTGGCTTTTTGGTTCTCCGTCGTTGTGTCGTGCTGGCCTGCTGGGTTGGAAATCCAATCAATGTCATACGCGGGACCCGGTCGATGGAAGTCAGATGGAGAGAGACGGCTACCTATCGTCGGTTTCGCGTCGACATGTCACATTCCGACGCCCCTCCTCATCCCAGAACCCATCCTCCCCCTTCAAACCCCCGGAGCTGGACAGGATGGTGAGGAGCCCGCTGGATAAGGTTATGCCTCGGCGAAGGAACGGAGGTTCAGCGGCGTCGTCCATCCATCCTCTTTCGTTTTCCCCGTCCCCGTCCCCGCGGCTGCAAGCTTTAGATTGTCAAAGGTGTTCGGGCGAAGGAGGTAGACAATACATCCAGCAGAATCACCCACAACGACGACAACCAACTTTCCGCTGTCGAAGAGAAAAACATCGGATGGTCAAAAAGCATCGAAGCTCTACACCACACATACGCAGAGCTCCATTCGGTCCCGCCTCGGGATTTACTCCACGGACACCCCCCCTAGCTTCCCCCCTCTCCCACATCTCCCCAGCCCGCGGCACCGTTTTCTCACCTCAGATCAGGTCCCTCGGCCGGTTCCAACCCCATCGCGCCGAAGCCTCGGTTTAGATGTTGAGAGCTGTGCCATCATCCCTGTAGGGGTTGGGAAAGTACACTACGTAACTACCTGTTCTGTACTGTGGTGAGAAAACCGAGAACCCCAATCGTTTTGCAGTCGCTTTCTCCCCACACCACTCCATCGGCGAAGCTTGATTACGCCGCCCGGCCCCGGTCTTGTGCACCGTACATTTCTATCTGGGGGATGGAGCGGGCGGGCGCGGAGTATGGTGCATGCAAGGTAAAGTTGTGGATAGCGTGGACGGGTGGATGGTACGGCGGACAGGGGTGGTGATGGTGGTGGTGGTGAGGTGGATGGAGGATCTGCCGTCATGCCCGTGATCCTCCGCACTTGCGTTAGTCCGGGGTTGCAACGACGTTCCTCCTCCCATGTGCGTGGTACTACCTCATGTCAGGCCCCGGCCCCCACGCGGGACCATAACCGGAGCTGCACCCCTTTCTTCCGACCTCCTCCGACTACCGACGGAACTTCGGATCCAATCCACCTCAAGCCTCCATCACTGCCATCTTCACCTTCACGCAACACCTCGGTAATGAGAAATGGTTTTCTGGTATTTCAACTATCTGACTCTCTATGCCTAGCACATGCTCGGGCACATGCCTCAAGGCAAAGCAAAAAAAGGGGGTATTCGTACGAAGAATGACGGTGACCGCGAAAGGAAATCCTGCGCTCGAGGGGATGATGAAGACAACCGGAAGAAAATGTGGAAAAAAACCAGGCCATGCTATGCCGTTGTGATGAAGCGTTCCCCCCTGCCTCGATATGATGTAATGAAATGTTTCCGTCATGGTATGCTTTCGACTCCAGTCGCTTGACTCCGTCCCACCGTGTTGATATCTCTTAGCACCCCAAGTCGCTGTAAACGCCAATTCAAACCCCCAGCCTAGCCCTTCCGAAACACACGCTTCGTGCCGCCGACCTTGCCCATATCGCCAAACTCTGAAATCTTGCGCGTCTCGCCGCTAGCGGCACGCACCTTTTCCTTGACGCTCTCCACCCACGCCCGATTCTCCTCGCTCATCTCGACCTTGCGGCCAGTGGGTCCTGCCAGGCCAAGGAACGAGCTCTCGTCCTCTTCCCAGCTGATGTGAGAGCTCGACCGGGACCGGTTGGAGTCCTCCGACGACGGCGTGGGCGTGAACTTGTCCGGGATCGGCGGGACGGCAGGCGTGTTGGGGAGGAGCCGGGGCACCGATGAGTCACCGGCGCCAAAAGACTTTCTAGACTTTCTGACGTTGAGCGGCGTCATGGGTGACATTTCCAGCGCGGAGGCTGGCCGACTCGGCGGGCTCGAGTTCGCGGCACGGCTGCTCGCACGCGGCAAGTCCTGGACCTTGATCTCGGCCTTCTCTACCGGTCCGGCAGAGCGCCGGCCGTGATGCGAGGCGTACTCCTTGAGGTACTCGCCGAGGTCGGCCCATCCACCCCCGACACGCACCATGACACGCTCGCCGTGCTCGCCGACGCAGCGGATGAGGAGCTTGATGGGTGCTTCGCCGGTGGACCGCGAGAGGTGGTAGACCCTGACGTCTTGTCCGCTCCCAGGGCGTCTGGGCCTGGGGTTCTTGGCGTATGCGGGAGCAAGCGTCAGCCACGGCGTCGTCGCCCGCGAAGATGTCCGCGATGTCGTCGACATGGCAGAGACGCTCCTCCGCATGGTCTCCCGGGATGGCTTCTTGAGCCTCTTGGCCGGCAGGGTGGGCAGATCGGGCGGCGGCGGGTTCAAGTCCACCTTGGGTGTAGCTCTGGCCAGCTTGATGTTGGCGGGGATAGACTCTAGAATGTCGCTGATTTGCTTTCGGAGGTGGTCATCTTCCTTGTTGCCAGTCTCTCGTGGCGTTTCCATGCTGATAAAGGAGTGATCAAAGTCGTCTTCGTTGAATGACGACTCCAGAGGGAGGGCCGGCAGAAGACCCTCGTCTTGGGGCCTTACCATAGGACTCACGCTGTCTTCTCTGTAACTCGGCCGGAACGGGGGAGAGCTGGGAGGGCTCATGCTCATGAAGCGGTCAGCAGCCGACTTGCGGCCCAGGGTCTCGGCACGCTTCTGGCGTGGCAGAGGAGGCGATGCTGACACTTCGGGCATGTCGCTCGAGGCATCTGCGAGCAGGCTCGTGTGGCCATGGATGATTGTAGACGAGTCCGAAGCGTCACTTCCGCGTCGGTCGGGTCGGATCAGCGGTGGCAGCTGCATCTCTTCATCATCGGGCAAAATCTCGTCCGCGTCGTCAGAGCTGGACCTGGCGTTGCTTTCAAAGACTGCTCTAAGCTTCGACACGACGGATTCCTTGCCTGACGCCTTTCTTTTGGTGTTTTCTTCGTTTTGCACTTCGCCCAGTGGCGTCCGTTTGGGTTTTGTAGCCTCGCTGGAGCCGTCAAGGCCGGCGACTGGCTGCGTCTTCTTCTGCGCTTGCAGTTGCGAGGGAGACAGCTCGATTGTGTCGTCCTCGGAACCGTCAGACTGCTCCGGAGTGGCCTCATCATCAGAGGCAGGCTGGCTGTCCTCTTCGGGTGGGTTAATGGTGATGGGCACTGGCAGAGTGATGACATCGTCGTCCACAACAGGCAGGCCAATGGATTTCGTGGGCTCCGCCTCGGCCTCTTCTCTGATCACCGGTGGAAGCGCTTTCTGTTGACGCACGCTAGCCCAGTCCCCTTGTCGAATCCTCTGCTCGCCTGAGGTCACCCAGTCGGCGTAGTTGCGCTCGACGGCTTCCATACGGTCAAGCCAGGCGTCGGGCAGTGTATCCTGCAGCCCCTCGAGACTGTCGAGCATGAAATCGAGGCTGCGTCCGGATTTTGTGATTTGCGTCTCCAACACTGACTTGACAACAGTGACGGCGTGTTTGAGTTGGGAGTGGGTGTCTTGGGCTCCCTCTTCGGCGGATGGCGTTCCCGCGGGAGATGACAGCACGTTCCATGCCGACTCGAGGGCATACTCTGCCTCTGCAATGCCAGACAGCAGATCGGGTATGCGACGGAGGACAGAGAGGCGGATGTGCCAGACTTTCAGCAGTCGGCAGAGCTTGGACAGATTTGGCAGTGCCTGGACGATGATTGCCGTGAGGAGAGCCGTCAAGTCGTCCATTCGGTTGTACGTAAGTGATCCGCCTCCAATGGGCCGCGTCGGAGACAACGGCGTTCCGGGTCTCGAAAGCGGAATGATGTGGGTGTGCATGACGTGGGTCTTGATTTCTTCAATGTGCAGCTCGTCCATGTCGTGAGAGATGCCGTCCACGCGCTGCTCGTACTGGGCGACGCTCTCGGCGGGTAGGCTCCCGAGGTACACCGACTCGTCGGCATCCTCGTCGAGTTTCGTCCGCTTTGCCTCTGGCACCTCAAAACCGGCCGAGCCGCTGGCGGAAGGCCAGGGCCAGTCGGAAAGCTCCTCCAGCCATTCGTAAATCTTGCGGCTGGCCACGGCGGCGCGCATGGCGAATTCCTGTTCGTTGACGGTAGAGTTGTCGAGGCATTGTTTTAGTTCAGTGTTTGGTGTTTGGAGCATCTCGACGGCGGTCAGTGGTGTAAGGCGGCTCAAGAGGTCGTCGTTGGTTCGGGCACGGGTGGGCGAGTGCTCGTCGGAGTGGCGGTACTGGCGCCTGGCCGGGCGCAGCTGGTGGCCCGGCCCCGGGGTGATGGGTGGCGGAGGATCGGTCATGATATTGATTGCTGAGTAGTTGTTGTCGGTTGTCGAACGAGCGGTTGATCTGTCGAGTAGGCAGGCATGACCTTTGCTTCTATGAACCTGGGAAAAAGACGTCTTGGATGCGCATGGCCATATCGTGGATCATCGGTGGTGTTTGTTGACAATCATGGACGTCCCTATCCGGCTGACTGATGTCTCGGTGGTGTCTCGCGTTCCTGGCTCTGGTCTCTGAATGTTGCTGGAAAGACGTCGATTGCTCGGGTTGTAGCTCGGGTGGTTGCAGGATGTTCCAGACGGCAGACGTCAGTGGTCGTGGGCGCGGCGCGGTTCCTGGATGCAAGGGAGCGGGGATTCGAAGGCAGCTGCGTTGCTGAAGAATAAGAAAGAACGGATAGGTGAGGTAGACAAGGTCGCTGGTGAGGATTCAAAGAGAGAAGCGGATCAAAGGAAGGTCGTTGGTGAAAGAACGAGGATGTTTCGCGAGGTTAGAGAATTGAAGCTGGCGCGATGAGACGACAGATGACACTGGGGGAAGAAGGGAAGGGCAAGGCGCAAAGGCAAAGGAGCAGTCGGCAAAAGGAGATTAGGTGTCTGGCGTTGTCGAAAGAAAGAGGAGATTTATTAATGAGATTTGATGGATATTGGTTGCCGCATACGGGGATGGCCAGGGACCTTGTAGTCCTTGTGCTGGGCCATCCACCACGCCCAGTGGGAATGCGGACCAAAGTCAGGTACCCGAAGGCAGGGACAACAGTGGGCGAGGTACCTCTTGCCTGTCCTGCCACCTGAAAAGAACCTGGGCGTCGTGGTGGTCCACCAATGCGGCGATGTGTGTGGATGATGGGGTGGAGTGGCCGCTGTTCTGGGTTAATAGGCCTCCAGAGCACCCCCGTCATGCAAACGCGCTTTCGCGGCTTTCGCCAGCCAGTCCAGCCCAGTTGGTCTCGACAATCCAACACACGCTCCTAATAATATCACAACTATCGATTCGGCCACTGACATCTCTCCACGTCCATCCGCATCGTCCGCGTAGTCGTTGTCTGCATCGTCCGTGCCTTTCTGGCTTCTCTACAGCTGTACGGATACAGCACCCACAGCAACTTCAACTGCCACGGCAACTCGCCTCTAGCACCGCCCATCCTGACGTGTCGCGAGACGGCCTTTGCGCCGTTTGCATTGGGGGCGCGTTAGAAAGGAACCGGACTGCGCGTCGCTGAAGACCCTGGTGCTATCCGCTTCCTGCATGGCTGCAGAGAACATCCATGCCGTAGAGTGGTACTATGTGATGCGTCCGCCGCATCTTGACGTCTTTCCGTGCCCGTCATGCTGGGCTTTCGATGGGTGTCCCTGTCTCGACTTGATGCAGCCACCGCCTGGGCCAGCATGCTGCCCGGGAGTCCTTGACAGAACTTTGGGCTCTGATTCTGCATTCGCGATATTCTCGCGTTCCCAGCTAGGTTGACGTGAACACACATTGGCCATCTTCCAGACACCACTCTGTACCCTCGCACGTTCTCTCCACGACATGAGATGGCAGGCTGCACGACACTGCCACTCGACGCTCGGATGCAGAGAGTTTCCCTGCCAGACGTGCATGTTTTGCACGGTAACATGGCCCACGGCCGTGGTCACGGACGGCGAATGTCAACCTAGACTGCCAGAGAGCTCTGAAAGCTGTCGGCAAGCTTTATCACTAGTGGCGAGCTGGCAAACTCAAGGCGCAGACTTTGCAGCTTCATCAGCCACGCCAGGCGGACAAAGTCAGAGCGTGGCGCCAGCCCATCGGCTGCTTCCATCGCTTCCGGCGATCATCATCCCCCCACTGCGGTCACCTTATTTGCCCTGCTATCACGCATCCAGCTGGGGGACCCGGAATGATTGGACAGAGACGCATCGCCAGCCGTCGAACCGTGGGATACTTGCATGCCTAGGAGCCTCCTCGACCTCGATTCATACGGACGCACCAGCAGATCGCGATGACCAAAGGATTATTCCATCGCACGAGAGCTGGCCAAGACGCGACTGACTCCAGCTTACGGAGTCCGGTTCTGCTCATTTCCTCAGATTGTCAACCGAAAAAAAGTGTCCCACCCGTCGTCATTAAACAGTCGCTCGCTGGCCCGGAAACGCGCTCGGTACCATTTCGCCTGACAGCTCCCCCTGTCCCGCTACCCTGCATTCGGTTACCTCATCCTGGAGCTCTCAGATTGAACACGAGGGGTTGTTTGAGCTTGACTCTCAAAGGAGCTCCAGAGGGCGGATACTGTCAAGGGAGCTCTGGACCTCCCATGTCACTGGAGTGACAGCGTTTGGACGTTGCGCCATTGTCTCGCGATCGCAGCCAGTCATCATCCTGCTCATCCTGGGAATCGTGAAGTCTTGCATTCGCTAAATCTAGATTCTATGCTTGTGGCCCATCAAAGCTTCGGCGCAACGTGCCTCCATTTCCCTATGCCGGGGTACACGAAGCCAAGCTCCCGAAGACTCGTCGCGCTCCCTCCTCGCTTCTCAAACTCCTGCTTGCTTGGCCAGTAGATACCGCGCTCCCAGAACTGCTCGTCGTGCCAGTATGGCGGTTCTTTGCCTCTCTGCGTCGACTCCGCCACCCAATCGTGCAACATGTTGAGGTGGCGGCCGTCGTCTCCGTCGTCGAGCAGCACGTGAATGTTCTTGTCGCCGCGCCTCTTGAACAAGTCCAACTCCCATTTCTCCTGCTCCTCCACAGGCGGCAGCTTCAACCCGTTGGACCAGACCGCACCCAGAGCCGCCGCCTGGTTCTCCGCCACGGGCCAGGGCACCGTCTTGACCAGCAGCCCGGCAAAGGCTAAAGTGGGGTGCTTGATGAGGAACAGGTGCTGGTACAGGCCCCTGACGCCTTTGCCGGTCGTCAACAGATTTGGCTTGAGGAACTCGGGCAAGAATGGGAAGCTGAAGAAGAAGCCGGTGCAGTAGATGACGGCGTCGACATCTTCCGCCACTGTCCCGTCCTTGTAGACGACGGCCCTCTTCTCTGGTAAATACTCCACAATCTCTGGAACCTCCGTCACCCCAATGTGCTCGACCTTGTCCGGCGGAGTCGCATGTCGTACAGATAAATACACCCTGTCCGAGACCGGGCTGAGCTGGCGGGCTATATCCAAGCCCGAGGGCCCGTTGCCGATGACAATCACCTTTTTGCCTGAAAAGGGCTCCGGCACGCGGTAGTTCTTGGAGTGTAGGATTGCTGACGGATGCGCCTCGTGAAAGGCCTGAATGCCCTTGACGTCCGGGATAAAGGGGATGTCGTAGTGTCCGTTGGCAATGACTACGGCGTCGTACGTGTCGCTGAACTTGCGGCCGGTGATGGTGCACGCGGCCCCGAGGTCCCACCTGTCTCGGCCGTCCTCTTGGCGGAGCTCAAGCGCCGTGACCTGGTGCGTGAACTTGATGAGGTGGCGGACGTCCTTGGCGTACTCGACCAGGTAGTTGTAAATGGACTGCCGCGAGGGGAAGACCCAGGCGTCGTCTGGGAACGGCGTGTCCTTGTAGTTCATTGTCGTCTTGACCGTGTTGGCGTGCAGCGTGCCGTACATTGGTGTGGGGAACACGGGCGGCGCATCGGGCTTGCGCGGCCGGAGCGGAGGGTCCTGCGGGCAAAAGGGGTCCGTCTGCGGCACATGACGAGACGTGGTCGGGTGCGGGCTGTAGTTCCAGACACCGCCCACCTCGGCTTGCTGCTCAAACACGACCACGGAGTCAAAGACCCCCTGCGCCGTGAGGTACCGAGCGGCTGCGAGACCCGTCGGCCCCGCGCCGATGATGGCGATCTTCTTGACGGTGAATGGGATTGCCATGGTCTGTGAGACATGGATGACCTTAGGTGCTATGCAACGGAAGAATGATCTAGTGGCCGCTCTTTAAACTATAGACAACAAGTCTTGGACCCACGAGGTGCCAACGCGTTATATCGGCGGGAAATCACCTAATCGGTTCCTTTTCGGACAGAGTGGTGGACACCGGGCGGGTAAAACGGGGACTCCCTCCGCTCCCCTACATCAACGTCGCAAAGCCAACGCAATCGGATGCTTGGGCGAGAGAGATGACAACAATGACATGTCATGTCTACCATGGCCTACCTCTTCTGGTCCGGAGTGCATGTCCAAAAGGTTAATCTGCGCAAGGTCGACCCATGGCAGGTCGTCAGGTGACTCGGCGACGATCCGGAAGGCCAGCCGGCTCCGAAGCCCCGCTTATCGATAACGAGCCATCCGGCAGTCACGCACACCGCCTGCTTTTTTCTGCCACAGAGGTGTGGGGCCTTCCCGCGCAATTCGTGCAGCTCAAGCAGGAGCTTCCCTTGTTCCACATTCCATCCACACCACGACCATGCGGTGCTACCGAATCGACCTTTGCGACCGTTTCCATCCCACATTCATTTAACACAATCACACCTTCGACACTGCGACAACACCCCGCTGATGCTCGACATCTCCGAATACACACTCATCAGCTCCGCCGCGTCCCCTTCAAACTCATGACGCGATGTCTGGGGTCCCGCAACCCGCAGCGCAGCAGCAGCTCGAAGCCGCCGAGGCCATCGCGATCGCGCAACTGAGCCCCGCGCTCCAGGACCCCAAGACGCGCATCGTCCGGGGCGTCGTGACAATCACGTGGCCCTACAGCATCGTTAGGAAGAACATTGCCTTCCTCCTCGCCGAGGCCGACTTCCGCCTGCGTCGCGCCAAGGGCCAGGTGCGCGTCGAGTTTGCCGGCTCGAGCGCCAAAGCGATCGCGGATGCGGCTCTGGGCAGCGGCGACGAGATTGCGCTGTCGCTGGACGGGGTCGAGCTCGTTGCGGACGACTCCAAGACGCGCGTTCCGGGTACGAGTTTGGAGTGGCAGCTGAGGTTTACGGAGAGGGTGCTTCTCCAGGTAGGTTAAGCGTGTGCGTTGGAGGGGGTGTTTGCTAAGACAAAGAAGGCGAAAATAAGCGACTCCGAAGAGGTCAAGGTTATCGATGTCGACCACCCCGC